TCCATTCTCCGTCAGGTTGTAAAGTAAAACTACTGTTCAATAATTGTATAACGTTTTGGATTTTTCTGAAATCTGCAAAGCGTCTTTCGAATTCTATTTTTAAACTTGCCATAAACTTCGTAAAATTTCTGATATCAACCTCATCTTTTTCATCACAAACTTTTTTCAAGTTGGGAAAATGTAAACGTTCATTACCAACATCTTGCATAAAAAAATCAATTTTTCTACAAAAACAATTTGCCTCTGAAACTAAATGGCAAATTAGTTTCTGCTTACCTTGAAGTTTCAAGTTGAAAGAATTTATGTGTTGAAATATATCTACCAAAAACGCAATAGTCGCTACGTTACTATTATCACTGATAAATGTGTGATAGTCTTTGGCAGTCAAATGTGTACTCTGGATTAAAAATTGTTCAATTTCATTCAGTAAGTTAAAAAACCTTTGCAAAACATTTCCTTTGATCAGCCATCTCACATTATTATGAAGTCATAAATCGTCAAACTGACTATCATTTTCTCGAAGAAGTGCCTTAAATAATCTGTGCTGGAGTGAAGATTTTGCACGTATAAAATTGACAATACTCATTACTTTTTTCATAATTTCTTCCAAACACGGATCCAGTTTGCAGCAAAGGACGCTTTGATGAATAATACAATGGTACGATAAAAGATCAGGGTTGCATTTAGGATCGTTTTTTAATCTTTGAACAAAGCCTTGATGAGTGCCAATCATCGCTGGTGCACCATCAGTTGTAACAGAGATAATTTTTTTCAAATTTAAATTTTCTGTTTCAAAATACAATACTACAGCATTGTACAANTGTTTCAAAATACAATACTACAGAATTGTACAAATCATTTCCTTTGCTGGTCCCTGATAACGACAAAAGTGTCAACAACTCTTCGTAAAATTTCCCACTGGTATTGTTCAGGTATCTCACGTGAATTATAAGCTGAGATGCATCTGTGATATCACAAGATTCATCCAAGGCCAAAGAATAAAAATCAGCTGTAGATAGATCTTGTTTCAACTGAATGTGATTATCTTTGTCCAGTATTTCGGTATTTCTCGTGTTAGTGGATGCTGATATGGGGATATGACGAAAAGTTTCGACAATTTCCTTTTTATTTTCAAACACTAGACTTACAGATTGAAGCATGCATTCTTTNCAAACAGTAGACTTACAGATTGAAGCATGCATTCTTTAACAATATCAGCATCTGTAAATGGCTTCATATGTTTACCAAGTGTCCACGAAATTTGTAAAGAAACTTGAGCACATTTTTGTTGTTCAGTCATTGCGTGGCTCAAAATTTGAGTTGCCGATTTATATTTCATTTGTAGATTTTCAATTTTTGTTTTACGAAGGTCAGTACCCAATGGGGATTTTTCGGCAAATGACTTGTGTGTCTCATAATGACGTTTGATATTAAACAGTTTCATAACAGCCACTGTTTGGTGACAAATCAAAACACCGGCTTGGCACCTACCCTACCTGGTAAAATAAAACAATATAAGTCCATCCACTCAGGACAAAACTGTCTATTTTCAATCTCTACTTTTCTTATTTTTCTATCCATATTCAAATGAAAACAAAGAATAATAAACGAAACGGACGAACAAAAATAACGTCGTAGCGGACACCACCGTCTCACTGATAACTGACGGACTGACACTGAAGAANGATTATGCTGGGCCCATCTACACCAAAGCGCCCTCTCGTCGCTCTCCTGCGACGAAATCGTACATCTGCCTATTCGTATGTATGGTCACAAAAGCACTTCATCTTGAACTTTGCTCAGATCTTAGCACAGAAATCTTTTTACTCGCGTTCTCTCGCTTCGTTTGTCGCAGAGGACCAGTCAAAGAAGTAATATCAGTAATATTATTTAAGATAACAGTTTAATGTATTTTTACTTATGTTAGTATAGTACAAGGTCAAAAGGAACACATTCCTTTTACGATTATGTTGTTTTACTCAATGCAGCCTATTGTATACATGTTTACAGTTTAGTCGTAGTTTCACCGTCTATCGAGTAAAGTGACCTGTTGCCGTTGTACATCTCTAATATTATATGTTTTGACATTTTATATTAAATACTATTATATTACGAATAATTTCTAAATCTTTTAATTACATAACCTATTCCATTCAACAGATATTAACACTTAAAGTTTCAAATTTTTGAGTTAATACATGTATAATACACGAGGGATTACAAATACAGGTAGCTAATTGATTTTCTATGACATCGATATTAGCAGGTACACAGCATTGTTATTATCAATGGTAGTAAGGCACAATATTGTGAGTTTATAAATGCACTAATTGACAATACAGAAAGTATATCTATTGATAGTCATAATTGATAATAAACAATACGTGACTGTAACAACAATGTCATAAAAATCCAATTAGCTACCTGTATTTATAATCCCTTGTGTATTATACATGTATATTAACTCGAAAATTTGAAAATTTGAAACTTTAAATGATTATATCTAATAAACTAATAAAGTTATATTAAAAATTTTAATGCCATTTTTACTATTGAATTAAAAATCCAAACATTTTATTAAATTCAAAATATTTGTTCCCATTTAAAAAAACAAAGTTGATACCCTACAAGGCATAAGGGATGAAAATAAAAAGTTTTAAATAGTTAATAATTCAAGAATATTGTGTAACTAAAAAAAAACAAAAAAAAAAAATGTTTAAATTATATTTATTCTGCAAGTAATTGAGTGGGTTATGATAATAAAATCATCCTGTATAGCGTTAAATAGATTTAAACAGAGTTCCAACAGTTATTTCAGTATAAATATGATATATAAAACAAAAAATTAACTAGGAATAATATGTACATAAAATAGATATTTATAAAGGAATTTCTTCAATACAAAATTAATAAACGGAAAATCTATACCTAGAAGTTATATAACTTATTCTAAAAGTACAAAGAATTTATTTTGTGTTCCTTGTCGATTACACGATGGAAAAACAAGTTTTGCAACAACTGGCTTTTGTAATTGGTGGAATGGAGAGGAAAAATTGAAACAACATGAAAATTCTAAAATCCATAAAAATTGTGTTCTAAATTTAAAACATGGAGCAAACGTATTGGGTCGTATTGACAATCAGATGGTTATTCAAATGGACACTGAAGTTAAATACTGGAAAGATGTTTTAATTAGAGTAGTCGCAGTAGTAAAATCACTGTATATGCGAGGATTATCTTTCAAAGGTGCTGAAGATAAATTTGGATCTTTACATAGTGGTAACTTTATTATGAGTCTTTAACTCATTGCTAAGTTTGACCCCTTTTTAGCCAAACATATTTCAGACTATGCTAATAAGGGTAAAGGTTTTACATCATATCTGTCATTTGCTACGTTCGAAGAATTTATAAAGTTAATGAGTAAAAAAGTATTCCAAACTATTATAAACGAAATCATACAAGAAAAATACTTTTCAATTGTAGCTGACTCTACCCCGGATATATCTCATTGTGATCAACTTTCAAATCCTTCAAAAAGTTACAATTGATTTAGAAACTGTTGTATCAATGTATAACTCTTATCCAATATATCCATGATCTAAGAGACTGTTTTGATCATTATGAAGAAATTAGAAAAACAAAATTTGGAATCAGTGAATACTAAATAAGTGAAAAATTAAAAACTGAAAATTGAAGTTTAATTTTAATTCTAAAAAATCATTTAAAATTAACACTTTTATTGTAATCATGGACTCCTTACTTACCGAGTTGAGAAAAAGAAAAATTGCATATGACCTGATAAATGAAAATGTTTCATTCTTTTTTAATATAACCGAATTAGTGAAGTTAGAAATAAAGCTGAACGGTTAAGAAAATACTATTCGACGGATCTGGATTTATCATTTCCAAACGAAAGTATCCACTTTCGTAGCCATTTACATACTTTACCTAAAGAACATGTAAGCTAAATTTACAAGAACCCTGAAGAGGGTCCACCCTGGGCCGAGGCAGAGCCGGAGCACCAGGGATTTTGGTACCTTATACTAGGGGAAAAAGGTAATTAATAAAATATGATTTAAAACAGTTATTAAATTTTATTAAACATTACAAGCAATTTTATTTCTTGTTCTTATAATATAATAAAAATATTTAAAAAGAGATTTGTACATAAAACAAATTAACTAATTAAAAACACAGGTCCCAAATAAAAGGGAAAATATAGAAAAAACACTACAGTAAATATTGAATAAATTACTAGTAATTAAGTTATGGTCAAGGATATAAGAGAATTTTACAGAATGTTTATAATTAAAAGTTAAGACAATGCATGGTGATTGATACTAGTACTACATACAAGTTGTCTATAGACAGCCAGGCATTCAAATAGCCTGTGTTCTTTACAAAGTATAATAATTCATGACAAATAAAGTCTGAACGTAATGATCCATTGTTTTTTTTTTTTTATCATATCAGTGTTCCTGATAAGAACCAGTCACCAGATATAAAAAAAAATTAACTGGAACAAATTACTTGCTGGAGTATCTTAAATTTCAGATGTCATAACCACAATATAATAAAACAGAGCAAAAAAGGAAACACATGAGCGTGACAGATCGAACGCATGCGTCAGGGTATAATGGACATGCCACCAACATCAATGAGTATCCTCTACATCA